GGTTGTTTAAGATTATCATATATTTTGTTCTCTCTCATTTGCCTTAAGGCACAAAAGGCAACACCACATAATGATGATTCACATAGTCATAATACAATGTCCTGATTCTTATGGAGCTACAATAGCGTAAGAATAAGGGTATTTCTGTTACTTGTGAAAGACATTATGGAACACGCTCTCTCACAAGAGAGAATCAAATTATGTGTTGAAAATGTACAATGACAAATGGAACTTGAAGAGGTGAAGCCTTAGAAGTTGTTTACATAATGTGCCTTTTATGCAACTGATGCATTGGAGGAGACTGGAATGAATCACCTTCCCTGACACACTTCATTTTACTGAGCTACACTATGCTCCTAAGGTCAGGGAAGCCAGCTGTTTAAGCTGTAATAAAACACAAAACTAACCCTGTGCTCTCCTACAGCAGATCCCGGTGTTGCTCTCAACATGCAAAAACAAAGGATTAAAAAAACATGATAGATAAATCCGTCACACAAAGTTCACACCTTCTTTACTGTACTGTTCCATAAAGATGGCCTCCATATAGCAATCATGCTTCTAATGAATTTGTAAATTAAATGTCCTTTCCGACAGGCTGTTCAATTTGGTATGAGTGTTAATATCAGGTTTAAAAAATCATTGAACGAGATAATCTTTCCAATCTCTGAAAGAATCAAAGCCTCCCATCTTTCTGTTATACATTACGCTAGGTGGAGATGCACAGATTGAATGCTCTGATCAGCACAGTGGTTTGTCATAGTCACAGTCAATCTGTAAATCTGATTAAGGCTGAGGGGGAAAATGACATTCCTTGGCAACACTGATAAGATTATGCAGTTCAAAATATTACTGTAACTGCTATTTAATGGTTCAGTAAGGTCTCACTGTCTGACTGTGATCAGCCATTGAGTCATATGTTTTATTCTCAAGCTTTATATATAGACTAATATGATTGTTAAAAAAAGGGCCAAAAATAACAAGCGACAGCCCTATGATCAACTATTATGACATCATATTTGCGGAGTATTGTGGGAGTAATTACATTATGAAAGTTACTTCTCTGAGTGAAGTTGATGTCACAGTATTGTACTCCCTGCCCTTTTTGTGCTAAACATAGACCGAGAGCTGAAGAGAGGACACAGGAAGGCTGGGGTCCTGTGCTGTGAGTAAAGTCACATAATCTCATTTCTGCTGTTGGATTATCACTGATCTGACAGCATGTGTTTGAAGCAATGATGGGAAAGGTATTATCATTATCTGTTGGAGAAACTATATATGTACTGTGTTCAGTACATTTCAGTCAATCCACAAGTGGAAAGCTAAACAAACAATTATGATAATGATCATCCATTCTGAATGTTTTTACTCACCTAAAGTAAATGCCTTTGTTTTTAACTTGCTGCACATCATTAGGGAAATTAATGAATGGAATTTAAATCAATTGGTCAAACAGTTTCTCAAAGTTTTCTGCCAACACACACGTGGTGAAACATATTCGATTTTAAATTTACTGTTATTAAGCAGCATGCTGGACCTCTGGCTGAATAAATTAAAAGTACTGGACCAAATGCTGTCAAATTAAATGTTGCACACTTTTTCACTCTTTCTCCCTCAGGTTATGATTAGGTGAGCTAACTTTACAAACTAACTTGTATTTTTTTTATGTGCAAATTAAAAATACGCATATAAACAAGTGGACGGAAATGCCAAAAAATGCAAAAAGCAAAATCCAAATTATTATCATTAAAACAATTTAGATAAAAAAAAAATAGGCTGTATAGCTCAGGATTTATTTATAAGGTGGATGACAGTGTGGATGCTTGTCGAAGGCATGAGGTCAGTTTTTAAAGGTTTTAAGTGCAGTCAAAGTATGTGCAGCATAATAATGAAAAGCTGCTTCTTCGTGTTTAGTCTGAACTTTGTGGACAATTAGCAGAACACTTAGTATAGATGTAAAGTTCTTTTGCTACTAAACTACTGAGATATTTATAGATGTGTGGGTGTGTTATACTCTTGACTGGGCATTTAAACTATTTGCTATTTCTCTGCATTCTACTGTATGAGGAAGGCTTCCTTAACTCAACATGTAGTCTCACTTATTTTAAGAAAAGTCCCTTTGTATAAGAAGGTATTTTCATAAGTTGTAAGCATTTTAACCCTGTTCCTGTTCAAGTCTCTAAATACATAAATTCAAGTCTTATAATGCCATACAAATAGTGCTACATTTACACAAGGTTTTTTTTAATATTATTTTATTACACCTCTTCTCGGATTTACGTGAGTGAGTACACACTGTACTTGACTGACATCTTCCTGACTCTCCTGTTCCAGACTTTGTTGCATGTTAAGATGAAACACCTTTGTGAATCGTTTAGGCGTACAGACTTTATCTACCTGAGCAAATCCACAGGGTATTCTCCAACAAAACTAAAACTGAAAAGACATCTAATCAGCCAGACCAACTGAAAGCACCAGTGTGGGTGTGTTGTCCCGGTTGCACAACAAATTTACCACTACAAGAAACCATGAACCTAGTTATTGAACCTCAGTATCTTTTTGGTATTGACTGAAATATGTCAGTTAAATCAAGTATCAGAAACTATCAAGCTGGCATCCAGTCTCAGATTTGTAATATAAATACAAATATGTATTTTGATCATTTCAATCAAAATTTTGTTTGTCTTGTTTGTTCAATCAAAAAAATGTCAAACTATTTTGTTTAGGAAAAGTTCTTGTATGGCTGCTTGTGTTTTACAGAACATCTGAACTTTAGCTTCTTTTGTTGAATGAAAAGAGAGAAAAACATGTTCATCTTTTAGTTCAAGTAGGATATATAAAACCCATGTATTGTATTGGCAACAGCGCTGAACATTTTAACACAATAGCTTAAATAGAAAATAAATACAACTGAAGTTTGATAAAGTAAACACTGATTACATATATCTTAGGCAATGTGTTAAATTACTCATTCACTCTCTTTCTTCCACACACACACACACACACACACACACACACACACACACACACACACACACACACTCTCTAAGTAAACTAAATGAAATATTGCAGCAATTTCTCTCTACTCACCTCTCAAGTTATCATTCACTGTCTCTTTAAATACTGTGCACAGACAGTAGTTCTCTCTAGGCAGTGGTGTGGGTCACTGTAGTAATGCTTCCAGGCAGGCACAACGGGTATTTTGACTGTTCTGTGATGAGGATCTAATTAGCAGCTACATTCTTTAATTAAACGAGTGCAGAGTTAAACAGTATAACACAAGCGCAAATGTCAATAATGCCAACTTTGTAGCAACTAATTTAGCAGACTTAAAAAAGACTATTTTCTTAGAACTGGTATGCCCACCCATTATTTCTTAACAACAGTGCCTTGTTAAACTTAGCCTTCATGCATTAGACATAGGTTCCCTTTCAAAGCACTTACAGATATAGTGCATTGTGCTGGGTCAGTATGTTACATACATACATAAAGAGTTCCTGATAAGATATGATTCAATGAATGGAACTGTATTGCACCAGCGGAAAACTGCTTGAAATGTCCTTAAAGCGCAGATAGTTTATTAGAAAGCAAGACAGTACATAAGCTGGCTAGTTAGACAGAGAGCTAGTTATCAGACAGAGACCAAGGCAGTCACACAGACAGCTAGTGAGAAAGAAAGAAAGATTGTTAGCAAGACAGCGTGTGAGACAGACAGCTAGTCAATAAGAAAGACAGATAGATAGCATGACAGCTAGGTAGACAGACAGAGCAAGATACTCAGCAAGAAAGGAAAATAGCAACACAGCTAGTCAGACAAATAGCAACACAGCTAGTCAGACAGACACAGGCAGACAGAGAGCAAGCTAGTCAGCTAGACAGAGCGTTAGTCAATAAGAAAGATGGATAGCAAGGACGCTAGTAAGACAGACAGAGAGCAAGTTAATTAGACAGACAGCTAGTCAGAAAGAAAGAGACCACAAGACAGACATCCGGACAGATAGTCAAATAGAAGGCTGTAGGAAGACATTTAGTCAGACCATAGACTGTATATGAGTCAGACAGACAGACAGACATCTAGTCAGAAAGAAAGAAAGATGGATAGCAAGACAGCTAGTCAGACAGACAGATGCTCTTCCATGGAGGGATTTGAATTGATCCAACTCAATGCTGAGAGGGCACAAAGAGTGCTAATGTCAGAAATAAATCCAAGGACAGATATCTGTAAATGTAAGACAACATGTCACATACACTGACATGAAGCACTGGAGTACAAACTGTGTGGTGGAAACTGTGTGGTGGAAACCCTGGAGGGCTTCCTTTACTATCAGTTGTAGCTTCCACTGTACTAAAAAAATAAAACTGATTTACACTCCCTTCTAGATTGCACTCTTCAAAGTAGTAAAATGATTAGCCAGCAGTAGCAAAGTATCATCTGAGGAATGCCAATGCAGAAATATATTCTCTTCATGTTTTTTGCCTTTGCCCATCACTCCTCGATCCACAGTCCTTTGCCTTTTGCCAAATGTGGGTCAGGAAAGGTCTGGTCCACAGAGGCATTGTGGTGAGAATAATGCAATAAAATGGAGAATATCAGAGAATAATAAAAGTACTGCTGGGACACACCCTCATTCTCTGGTGCCACAAATGAGCCAATTAGGCTCAGATCTTGTCTCTTCATGAAGATACTAATAATGGTGAATGTGGCAATGAGATCTAGTTTTTTCCTACAATTTCTACTGAACTTTGATTTTTTTTATTATTCTTGTCTCTGTCGGAGTGGTGACGTTCTTTCATCTTAGTTCCAACTCAGTATATACTTTTCAGCATATGAATTCTTAGTGTTAAAACAGCTTTACTTCAGCGGCGGTTTGATTTCTCCCCCTGACATTGGAGATGGTTGTGGAGCATTTACATTTAAATTAAAGAGCTGAGATCATCTTACGTTCAAATGTAATGTTTATGAGATACAATTGGACATGAATTGCTCTCACTTGTCGACTCACCATAGTCGCTCTCATAAAAGATGATGAACTTCTGCCAGTGCAGTTCTGAGACAAGGGTGAGCAGGACATCGTTGATTCGAACAGGTGGACGGGCAGCCAAGGTGTAGCTCTCTCCATCTGGGCTGGGGTTGAGCTGGCAGGCGGTGCGGGGTGCACCTTCCCCATTTCTCTGGATGAAGAGGTGAGGAATGTGCATTGCATCTGTCAGAGACTGCAGGGCACTTGCAGCTGCGCAGCCCGTGGATGTGACCAGGGCGAGGATCCCCTGGTTCATCAACTCACATGCTGGAAAGAGGGAAGAAAATATACAGGGAAGGTGGATGAAGCGAAAGTAATAAAGAAGAAAGAATACAATGTTGAGGGGTGGAGATAAGGATTTGTAGAGAGAAAATAAGGATGAAGGACACATGAGTATGTAAAATGGATAGAGGAGGAAGAAAGAGTAGAATAATGGGGAAAAAAACAGGGTTGGGAAGAGAATAGAAGAAATGAGATAAAACATTGTTAGATATGCTTTCCAAATAAATTTAAACTATTCAATTTCAATACGATTTTGATTTCAACAATCATTTTTTAAGCTTTAAAAAGCACTGTACATTTTTCCAGAAAGTGTGCTCAACTGGGCTTAAGAATTCAAGATGTTTTTTGTGTAGCCTACTTAGGATTACGTCTGAGCCTCCGCAGTTGAGAACAGGTCACAGAGAGGCGGGGGTTGGTACTGAAGTTGTATTATAATGTGTAGATTCAGTAGATTCAGTGGGGGGCTTCATCTCATCCTTGTCCCCAGAAAAACGGCTGATTAAAGTGAATATTCTTGCTAAAGGTAAGAGTCACTTGAAAACATCAGATGTATCAGAGGAATCAGTGTGGTGCTTAGTGAAAGCACAGAACAGTGACTGAGTGGGAGGCCACTGTCACAAATAAAAATCGGGAATATTTTTTGCTGGATCCAGAGTCTAAACTAAATATTATCCCACACACCCTTTACTCTCTTTCATGTACACATGGTAAAAATCTGTAAACCAGCACAGATTAAGACTGCAGACACATGCTTGTAATGTGGTGGGTTTTAACATCTCAAGATTTTTATTTACACATGTAATTTGAGCAAAATAAGCTTTAGATCCTCTTAAGGCAGGTCAGCATGTCTGCTGGGACAAAATGCCAAATATCTTTTAAAGATGAAAATGCCATCTTTGACATTATTAATACATCCGAAAATGACAAAAAAAAAGGTGTTCTGACTAAGTGGTGTTAAATATTTAATGCCAGTGGGTAGACTTGGGGTTGCAGTGATCTGACATATTGCGCATTCGTTATTTGCTCTTCAAATTAAGTGACAGTTGATCAATGACTTAAAAAGATGAGTCATTCAACCAAAATTGGCAATATGTTTAGTGCATACTAAAGAGAGCTTTCTTTACCATCACTGTAAAGAAGTATTATTCATACCACTCTCTTTCATCATTATGTGTAGTGCAAAGGGAAAATACAGTTCATGGGCTCTTTTTACTTTTTAATACAATTGGTTTTCAAGTGCTCCTGAAACATTCATCTACAGAAAATAGATATCATCATAATCTCATTTTATATTATTCTCATATTCCTTAGAGAAAAATACACATTCATAATTGTTGACCCTTTAATCTTGATTCTTTTTGTAGAGTGGTAAGCAAAATGCATTTGTACTCTCTTTTATGTTACAAGATGCGAAACACAGAAATAGGCAATTAGCAAGGAAAAGAGAAGGTGATGTGAATCCAAATGCAAAGCGGTTTAAATGAAGAATTTTGAATTTGCATTTCATTTTTAAGCTGCATAATCATCTACAACAGGGACTGTCTAATTTTGCATGTGACACAGGACAGGCTATGGCAAACGCTGCTTTTAAAATTCAAGTCACTATTTCTCACACAGCAGGGCTCTTATAATTTCAGCATAAACAGCTGAGCATATTGTTCAAAACAGCAATTAAATGTTCTCTCACTGCTTTTCATAATACCACCTAATTATACAGTCTACTTCAATGTCTGCAAAATTTAGCACAAAGCAACCGCACTGCAGACCAAGGCCATATTATATCATATCAACCCTTGATCCTGAGCATTTTAAGAAGCACAGCAAGGACTGCACAACATTATTAATTATGAACATATCATAAACACATACAGGTAAGAAACCATTAAGTTACATCCAGGGTGTGTTAAGGAGGAGGTAAAGAAAAAGGAATGTGGCTTTAGAGAAAAGGCATTAGGGATGAGGCGAGAGGGCTCAGAAGGAGGGGTGAGGAGGGGACAAAAAGGAAGGATGATACTGGGAAAGGGTTGTGTATGTGTGAATGTATGGCAGAGAGGGAGGACTATTAATGTGACAAATTACGATTTCATCTACTGCCTGCAAGCCCAAGACTACATTAAGGCTGTGTAAATCATGAGTACTGAGGCAACTAAATAACATGCTGAAGAGGAGCAGGGAGAGAAGGAATGTCAGGCAGCCGTGGTAGAAGAAAATGCACTGTAGTTCTAGTTGAAGTAGAATAAGAAAGGGAGCGCAGTACGAGGACAAACAAAGGAAAAAAGTGCAAGAGAAAGAGGATTATTTGCAGCTTTTTGCATGAATGCTCATGAGAGTGCAAGACAGACAGTGCTCTTCTCCTGAGCAGGAAGTGAATAACTGTTACAGAAAGACACTTACAAGGGTGCCAACATGTGCAACAAGCAAATATTCCAACATGAAATGATAATATTCTTCTCAGTAGGAAATCATGTGATTGGCAGTAATCCAAATCTAGAGCATGCATCAACACTGATACAATGTCTCAATGTGTCAGTTGTTAACAATTATCTGTGTGCTTTCCTACACATTGAAAACAGATAGTCCGCTCAGTCTGTTCCTGAGAGTTTCTGGTTTCCTCATAACAAGTTTTCTCAGATGCAACCTACTCACCATACATTTAATAGGGCTGGATAGGGTGTTATTGCTGCTGAATCACAGTTAAATTATGCTTCATGTACCATTACATTACAAACAGCAACAATTTTGTTAAAAGATTAGTTAGTTGGACAAAACAACTTGAATAGAATTGTTAGTTGCAGCCTTAAAATATATCAAGTTCATACATGTATATCAAATTAATTGTGATATCTTCAAATAATTGTCATAATGAAAAAAGATTGTGGTCAAAATGATTATCTTTATTTTGTGCCGCAGTGCTGTTAGTCCTAGTGTTTGCAAAATCATCTATCATTTATTTAACTTGTTCCACCATTTGAGAATATAGGAAACTCCAAAATTTTTACCTTTGTTTATTCCAAAAGAATAGTGGCCCAAAGAAAACCAAACATATTTTCTCTTTTATCATCCATAGGCCCTAACCCCCCCTCCCCCGACCACTTTTACCAGACTGTGGCTAAAGTGGGTCTGCGGCCATTTTGGCTTCATAATGGACACCCCGGGCGCATTATACAGCAGACAGCCCACTGACAGGAGGCAGGAGTGCTCCACAGTCATTGGCAAGGATGATAATGGTGGAATAATGACTCTTAAATGTTCCCACTGAAGTGGACAGAGACCATCACTCATTTCCTGCTAGCCATCTGACATCTAATGTCAGCATACAACAGCAGTCTTATACGAAACTTAAAGGAATAGCTTCCTTTGCCCAGATATTGCATATGAAGTATCCTAAAACCATTTATCTATTATAATTCTATTTATTTGGACTAATTCAATAAATGCATAGACTGGGTGTTTGAATTTAAATGGATGGGTGGATTTGTGGATGCATTTTTATCTAAACATCACTGGATATGTGTAAAACCCTAGCAAATGTATTATTGCTTAACTATCTGCAAATTCAGAGACCAAATCAAGGAAGGGGCTGGGAGATTGTAAGGGATACTTTCACTTTCCTATGCTCATAAATGAAACATTAATAAAGGACATTTGCTATGTGAATTATGGCTGATCAACAAACTTACTTACTGTATGCCCAGATGATTTAAGAAGGAAAATTATAATCAAGACACCAGGTTGAAAGAAGACATTACATCTTTGTGCCACACAATCAGTTTTCCCATAGAAACATTATGTCAGTGTATTGCCCTCATTTTACCAATGTAATATGACACAAACTGAGATGAAACAAACTACCACACCACTGTTGCAGTGAATACTGCATAAATTGGGACCGTCTCAGTGATTTCACAGTCTGAATGAGACCATCTCATTTAGTCTGCTTTGACGCAGAGCACAATCCTTGGATTCAAAAGGAGTGAGTCGCCACTGAGAAAAATGCTGCGATGTTGTCAACACCACACTACCCTGCAGTGACAATGGTGTAACTCTGATCTAATTGCGACAGCTTGTAATACATGTGATTCAGAAAGAAATGTTGTTTTGCATCATCAGAGGCCGTTTGGAAAGGCTTTGACTGTATTAGCCTATAATCCTTCTTGTTATTTTTAGGGTGAGCACCTACCTCCCTCTAAACATGAAATGATGAGATAAGGACGATATTATACCTCAATGTAAATTAAAATGTGATCAAACAAGAGTTTTGGTTTGGAGGTAGGCCAGTTATTGACTCAACATCTAATTGTGACCTTTCCATGAAGAAACTAATGACCAAGATGTTGAATTTTTATCTTAAATTGTTCCGAAGTTGGAGCAAAGAAAAAAGCATGCTGGATCATGTTCCTTTTCTTTTCAAACCAAATTACTGATTTCAACATGAAGTACTGAGACAGAGATACCTGACCGTTACAATTGTTCATTGATGGGTTTTCAGCATTCAGCAGGGGCAACTGGCACAAAGTGCAGCGTTATCTTTTTAGCTGGTGGAAGATTCCCAAGAGCTCTAAATGATCCATATCATGCTCAGCTAAGAGGAAACTGGGTGTTGTGTGTCATTTCCTCATTACGAATGGGCCCTTCCACTCTGCTTTTGGCAGCTTCCCACAACATAATAGCTCTTCACCACACGGAGGGGAGAAATGGAATAGATCGGTATTATATGGCAACCGGACCACAGCTTCGATCAACATTTAAGTGTACAGCAACATTGTACCTCCAGTAAGAATGGTCTCTCCATGGCGCTCTTCCATTCGCTCACTCAATTTCATCTTGCTTTCTTCTTTTGGGAGGATAACCATCCATGGCCCTTTTCCCCCCATGCCTGCACTCCTGCTGTCAGACTAAGATAAGGGTTCATATACCTGTCAATACTATTGATGCTAAGACTGCCCATGTCGTTTGAACTGTGAAGGAGTGTTCCACTGCTGTAA